AGTGGCCGGGAGCGGCCACTGCACTCCAGTCTGGGTGACAGTGAGACTCCAACTCAAAAAAAAGAAAAAAAATATCAAAAACACAGACTGACCCTAAGATGACCCAAAAGTTAGAATTAGGAGACAAGGATTACAAAACAGCCATTATAATTATGCTCAATGGCATAAAAAAAATGCTCATGACAAATAAAAAGATGAAAACTTCAGTAGAGAAGTGGAAAATACAAACAACCAACCAAATGGAAATTTGCAAACTACAATATCTAAAATTAAAAACCACTGGGTATGCTGTATAGCAGAATAAAAGGGACAGAAGAGTGGGTAATTTTGGCTAATAGAAATTATTCCATTTGAAGAAGAGACCTGTGGAACATTCCAAAGATCTAACAGACACATACCTGGACATCAGTTAATGTGTGTTGAATAACTGCACAAAAACATGTTATTATAACACACTTTGCTGACACAGCAAGAGACTCTGAGAGGTTAAGCAATTTGTTCAATGACACAGATTTGGGATAGAAACCCAAGCATCACAGCCTATGACACATTCTGCTAGACCATTTCCATATTTGAATGTCTTAAATTAGGCCTTTACAAAATGATAAAACTAGTAGGGCTCGGTGGCTCAGCCTGTAATCCCGCACTTTGCGAGGCTGAGGCGAGTGGAATGCCTGAGCCCGAGGGTTCGAGACCCGCCTGGGCAACTTGGCGAGACCTCATCTCTACAATAAATCAAAAACTAGCCGGGCGTGGTAGCGCACGCCTGTAGTTCCAGCTACTTGGAAGGCTGAGGTGGAAGGATCGCCTGAGCCCAGCAGGTTGGGGCTGTGGTGGCCGGGAGTGGCCACTGCACTCCACTCTGGGCGACAGAGTGAGACTCCAACTCAAAAAAAAAAAAAAAAAAAAGATAAAACTGTCTGGGCATGGTGGCTCATACATGTAATCCCAGCACTTTGGGAGGTAGGGTCGAGAGGACTGCCTGAGCCCAGGGGTTCCAGACCAGCCTGGGTAACATGGCAAGACCTCATCTCTACAATAAAGCAAAAAAATTAGCTGGGCGTGGTGGCACACGCCTATGGTTCCAACTACTTGGAAGGCTGAGGTGGGAGGATTGTCTGAGCCCAGCAGGTTGAGGCTGCAGTGGCCAGGAGCATGCCACTGCACTGCAGCCTGGGTGACAGAATGAGACTCTTACTGAAAACAAAAAAAAAGTGTGATTTCATCTCTACAAAAAAATCTAAAAATTGGCTGGGCACAGTGGCATGCGCCTATAGTCTCAGCTACTTGGGAGGCTGTGGTAGAAGGATCCCCTGAGCCCAGGAGGTCGAGGCTGCAGTGAGCCATGATTTTGCCACTGCACTCCAGCCTGGGCAACAGAGTGAGACCCTGACTCAAAAAAAAAAGAAAGAAAGGAAAGACAAAAGCTAAAGTATAAT